GTCTGTAAGACGAATTTTGTCCTTTGTTTTGTAATCAAGTCACATGTCGCTTTGTCATGCTGGAGAGCGTGAACTCAGGCAGCACGCTGAGAGAAGCTGTTCCCAAGCCTGACTCTCACTGTCTGTTGAATACAATCAGGTGAATGAGAACTAGATGAGCTGTGTGTTGCTCAGTGGAAGAGAGCGGAAGCCTGAAAGGGACCTAGGCGAGCAGTGATCCTGTCTCTCTCAGAGGCAGGGAGGCTCAGAAGGGCGAGTTTGGGATTGTCCTCCACAGCTGGGGAAGGACACCTGGAGGCCTTTCCCTGCGTTGTTTTAGGTTCTGCCCTCCCGGCCACACCCCTGCTGCAGCTGGACCGCCTGCTGAGCGACACAGGCCCACAAAGGCACCACCCACAACTCATTCATAAGCAAGCACCTGCCTGGCAACCTCAGGGTCCTGAGTTCGATCCCTGGTGCAAAACAAAACAAAACAAATAAATAAAAAAATTCCACTCATTTCCATCAAAAGCAGCAAGTGGGTGTGGCTGCTGTGGGTGGCAGTGCTGTGGCCAGGCAGGGCACTGATCCACTGTGCAGCTTGGCGTGGATTGGCTGTGGAATTCTGACAGCGCCTGGGGCAAGGGAAATAAGGTTGGAAATCAGCATCCCAGCCTGCTCTCTAGAGATAAGATGGGCTCAGAGCGCAGCCTAAGGTGGGACAACTGCAACCAATCAGCCACTCCTAGGGGCAGCTTGCATTTAGGAAGTCCCTTGGGTACCCCAGGCCATCACCCAGTGTCCTTGAGAAGTCACCTTCTCTGCTTGGGGGAGGGCTGAAGTCAGTCTGCAAGAGACTCAGGCTTGTATTTGGCCCCAATTCCCCTGCTGTCCCATAAATTGTCCCCAATGTCCAGGGTACGTGGTTAGATGTTGCTGCCTGAACTACAGAATGAAGTGTGCCTGTGAACTGTGTGATTTTGCTGAACATGTTAATAATCAGCGCCATCTCTGTACATATAATAAATAAATGCAGTCCGGGGCCTGTCTTGCCCCAGGCTGGGTCGCTGTGCATAAAAGAGCCCGCAACATCCATATTTGGGAATTATTTTTCTTCTTTCCTTCTTTTTGGTCTCCCTCCTCTTTCTGCCTAACACACAGATTTCTGAACCCCCTTCCATTATGTACCCACGGACTGCACCTCTTCTCCCCCTCCCTGCCTGCACACTGCAGCCTCCTACGAGGTGGCTCCTTGATTCTTTGATGCTGACACTCAGAGACATCTGGGCAAGTTCTCAGGGTTGCACAGCTTGCCAGGACAGGAGCCCTGAGCCACTGATGAAGAGCATACCTGCTGAGAACAAGCCTGCTGGGAACAAGCAGGGCTCCCCCCAAGCTGTGGGTGGTGACCTATGACAGTGACCTCCTCCGGTCCCTGCAGCCAACTGCCCTGGAGCCTCAGACCCAGCCAAGGAGCCAGCCGGCACCAACTTAAGCCTCACTTTTAAAAATGTTTCAACCAGTGCAATCCTGGGTTTTAACAGCCGATATCGTATGCACATTAAACACCAAATGATTGTTAACATATTTATTGAAGCTTAACAGGCGTCCACTATATAAAAGATGACTCTCTTATATGGCTGTCAGACCTCAATAAACATGTTTAATAATTAATTGGCATTAAGCAAACATAATTGTACGATTCTAAATTAAATGTTCAGTGAAGCATATTGCGAATGCAAAGCCACCACGGTGTTTATTACTTAAAGTTCAGCTGTCAGTCCGCCTGTTCACAGCTCAGGGAAGTGGTCCCCCCACCCCCAGGCCATCCTGCACAGTAGGCGGAACTTCCTCCTCTTGGTCCTCCAATCAGAGGACCAGCTCTCCTCAATCTGCTCTGGCTTGGTCACACCAGGTCTCTACTTGCCAGGCCAAGAACTGTGTGATGTGGAAGAGACTTGCCCATTTTAGTTTTCAGGTACCTGGACCAGTTCTGCCACCACTACAGACTCTGAATTGGAAGATACTAAGCTGTCATTCCTGAGGGCCACTTGGGGAGGTTTCCATGAGTCCAATTAACCATCACCTGTGTGCTTTTGTTAAACATCACCTTGTCTGATAGGTACAGTTTATTCATTAACATGGGATGGTGGAGTTCAACAGCACTGGCGCTCCTGTCTGGCGAAAACATATTCCACACAGGCGAGGCACAGCCTCCAGAATGCAGGGCCATGGGGGCCTGGCCTTAGCTCAGTTGTTTAAGTGGCTGCTTCCACAAAGCTGTCAGCCTCAGGTTGCTGTAGTTCGATTCCCACAACACTCCAGCCAGCCAAACCACCCCTGAGGGCATTCGGAGCAAAACAACAACAACAACAAAAAAAAACCCTTATTCCAGAATGCAGGGCCAGGTGTCTCAAGGGACCCCCTACGAACTGTGGGGAGATGAACAGTGCCGTAGCCACTGTGGAAATGGTGTGGGGGCTCCTCAGACACAACGCGGCATGATTTTGCAGGCTCACAGCTGGGTACATACACATCTAAAGGAAACGAAGTCGGTATATGAAACGTACCTGTGCTCAATTTGACCTTGTGACAGTGCTTCTCACAGGAGCCAATACACGGAGTCAACCTGGGGGTCCCTTGGGGGATGAGTAGATAAAGAAAATATGGTTGCTGTACACAGTGGAACACAATTCAGCCTTCAAAAAGGGGGGCAGCCTGTTGTTTGTGGCAGCATGGATGAATGTGGAAAGTGTTCCATTGAGCGAAGTAAGCTGTGAGTAGAAAGACAAATGTTGTCTGCTCTCAGGGACCCGTGGAATCTGCAGAGGTCGCTGTCCTAGAAGTGGGGAGTGGAAGGGGAGCTGTCAGCCGCCAGGGAGGAGGTGGGGAGGGAGATGAGGAAGTTGATCAACAGGACCCATAGTTCCTGTCAGAGAGGAGGAATGGGTTCCCAACCTCGGAGGCACAATAGAGTGACTTCAGTCAGCAATAAGCAAAGCACTGTTTATGTCCAAACAGCTGGGAAAGGGGATCTCAAGTGTTCTCTCCGCAAAGGATCAATGAGTGGGTCATTGCCCTATTGTGTACAGATGCCGCTCAGTGCCCTGTACCCTAGGGACATGGACAGTTATGGGGGGGGGAAGCAAGATCACACACACACACACACACACACACACACACACACACACACACACACGTGAAAACGTGGCGCTAAGTAGACCATGAAAAGGACCCGGGCTTGCAGCGTGAAGTCTGAACCGGGAAGGCGGAAGGTAGCCTCAGTTGACCCGGGGGGGGGGGGGGATGCCACAAACCGGGGGCCCGATCTTTGACCACACTGCGCATGTCCACAAGTGAACGTGATTTGGGGGTTAAAGATAAGTTTTACTAGATAGGCACTTTCGTAGGTACAGCAGCCAGGGACGGCGGGCCTGGGCTGCACACAGACTGCATTGCGCACAGCCGTCTGTCTGCACGCCACGCGCAGGATCTAGGGCTGCGGCTGCGCATGGCCCCTGAGACGGATTTGTTGGAGCCAGTTGAGTTGTTTTTAGGAAAGATTCCAAACTCAGTGTCACTGGAAGACACTTTTATTTTTTACTAGTCATCATTGCTTTCTGAGTTCATTGCTGTTATTTATTATTTCTATTTAGTTAATATTCCACCACGGCTTAAATTAACCACCTATGCCTCACCTGCCCCTAAATCCCTCAGAGCCTTTGGAAATTAAGCCGTTGTCTGGCGACAACCAACCTCTCAAAATTCAGGCAGGAGAAAGGAAAAGCATACGCCCAGCAGGCAGTCCTGGCTGGGTCACAGGTGTATGGCAATGACACGCTATCCCAGGGACCTCAGTCATGTGTGAACAGCCCGTCCTCAGGGGCCTGAAGGAGACTCGGAATCCGGCCGGAAACCTCCTTAGATGCAGCACCAGGAGGCAGGGCTGCGGCTTGGGAAGTCACTGTCAGCGGCAGCGAGTTCGGCACGGGGTGGGGCAGTACTGGGTTCTGAGACGCTCAGATCTGCCTGGGCCCCTCCTTGGGCTCCCACTGTTTGGGCCTCTCTGGGGCGGGGGGATGGGGTCCAGAAAAGCTCTAGGTGCTACTGGAATCCCTTGGAAACTGACATTGGAACCTCAGAGTTATCTCTTAGGGAGTTTGAAACACTGAAATTTATGCACACTGGTTTCAAAAAGCTAGAAAACAACATAACAGCGTGTGCCGTCTCATCACCTAAACATAATATTAGAAGGTTATATAACTATAAAATATATGTCATGCTATTTTAATACGTGGTGTATTTGATCATTTATTCTTTTATGTGTGAATTCTTAGTACGAGTTTGATCATATTGCATAGAAAGCTAGTGTTCTTCCTACCAATTTATGTGGTGTCCCCAGGATGTCCCCAGACCACACCATTCATGGGACCCTTGTTTCACACGGTTGCACATCTACGCACTGACTCACTGGGTGAGCTTTCCCTACGCCTTTTTCTATCATCAGGCATTGTTTCTAATTTTAATACTCATCACATTTTTTTTAAATCTACTTTTTCTTTCCTTAAGGCTAGTCCACTTCTCAAGGATTTTAATTATCTTTCTCTCCCTCTTTTTTTCTTCCTTCCTTCCTTCCTTCCTTCCTTCCTTCCTTCCTTCCTTCCTTCCTTCCTTCCTTCCTTCTTTCTCTTCATCTTTCCAGTACCACTGATTGAACCCATGGTCTTTGCACTGACTACACCCTCAGCTCATTTTTTTATTTTGCAATGGATATCACTAAATTGCTAAGTTGCCTTGGCTGAACTTGAAATCACACGGTCCTCCTGCTTCAGCCTCTCAAGGATTCTGGGATTGCAGGTGTGCACCACTATTCCTGCATCCCTAGTGTTTCTTGAAAGAATCTGTTCTCTCAAAAGTTTCTTTCTAGTACCCTTGTGTTTTTATTTGAATTCATTTATTCAAATATTCTCTCTTTCTTCTTCCTTCCCTCTCCACCTCTTTCCTACCAATGGAAAATGCAGCTCTTAAGGATGACAATTGCCAAGCAAAGACTTGGAGATGAAGAAATTGGTGTACGGCACTTTGCAGCCCATGAGAGGGAAGACTTGGTTCAGCAGCTGGAGCGAGCGAAGGAGCAGGTTGTTGATAGTGTTACTCGAGAGTGGGGGATGGGTTTGCACAGCTGGGGACAGCCCAAGAGCAGACATGTGCCCTGGATCTTCCTGCGTGTGGGAGGTGGGCAGAGGATATCGTTGACTGCTAGACTTCTGGTGCTGCCTCCAGTTACTAGCTGACTTGTGGGTGTCTGGTTGACACAGGTGCCATTGTTGGGAAGACAACCAAAAACTTTGCCCCGAACCAGGAGAGGCTGGGAGGAACCAAAACCTGACAAGTTGGCTGCAGTTTGCAGGTTTCCACCAAAATGCTGAGTGCTGCTTCTTAGGTAAAGTCTCAGCAGCTACAGAGCCCTAGTTAGTGAGCAGCTAAAAGAATCGGCAAATCATTTCCTTCCTTTTGCTAATGGACTTTGAAGAGTGGAACAAGATTATTGGCTCTAGATTTGGCTGGAAATGTTATGCATTTGTAAGGTGCCAGCAGTGGTTCCCAGGTCTGGCTTCTCCCTCTGCAAGCCATGGCTGCAGGGCTCACGGCAGGGCTTGGGCCAGGCTCCTGTCTGTCTCCCAAGCTGCTGTGCCTTGGCCGTCCTGGATGCAGTGAATGCCTGGTGGGAAGGCACCCCTCACTTTTAGCTTCCACCTAGTACACAGTGCTTGTGGTTTTGTAGCATGCAAGTGATATTAAGAAGCTCTCTAAAAATCAGTCAGCTGGGCAAGTGGCTCCATTTCTGGCCCCCAAATGCCCATGTCTGGGGATCCTGCTGAGTGAGGATGTGGCTGTGGTTGCAGATCGAATCTTTGGAGCATGACCTGCAGGCCTCTGTGGATGAGCTTCAGGATGTCAAGGAAGAGCGGGCCTCCTACCAGGACAAAGTGGACCGACTGAACCAGGAGCTCAACCACATCCTGGGTGGCCACGAGAATCGCATCATCGACGTGGACGCCCTGTGTATGGAGAACAGGCAGGTGGTCTTCCTGCTGGGTGACGCGCTGGCCTTCTGGGTGGGACAGGCTGGGTGTTCTTTGCACAATGAAAAACTGCTTTACAAGCTAAAACAAAGCTCCCAATGCTCCCTGTGTAGCATACCAGTCATAAAGTAAGTGAAGAGACATAATATACCATGCATGGAGCCCTCTCTCCTCCACACCTTTCCTGCTCAGGCCGGTGGGGTAAGAAAACAGCAAGGGCTGCTTGTTATTGCTATCAAGGAGAGGAAAAGAATAAGAAAATAAATTGAGAAATTCCCTTAGCTCTTTCTTCTCCCTGAGGCAAATTTCAGTGTGTGTATGTGTCTCACTTAATGTTATGCCTAGTGTCGCCTTTTCTTGCCTTGCTTCCCGGCGGAATCATCTTAATGAGAATTATGTGAAAACTGTGTTGAGGTCCCCTCGGGGATCTCTGCAAGGGCTGTTTTAAAGCAGGGTGTCAGTGATTTGGGCATGTTTGACCTTGATCACATCCATTTAAGAAAAGGTCAGAAAGATGCACATTTTTTTCCTCCTCCTCTCCGGATTGAGAAGGAAGGCATTGCGTGCAAAGGATAGCTCTTCTTGCAAGTTGTTTTTAGTTTTTCTCTCTCATACTTTAGTATATGTTTTTTACTTTTGCTCCCAAACACATCTATTTTTTTTCCAGGTACCTTCAAGAGAGATTAAAACAACTCCATGAAGAGGTCAACCTCTTGAAATCGAACATCGCCAAATACAAGGTAGCAAAATCATGATGCTAATGCTGGTGATTCACCATTGTACATCTAAATGTCATCCTATTTTAATTCTCCTTTAAGTGGCAAAGACATTTCAGTGTTTGCCTGCCCTTTGTGAGAGAGCCCCACGAGAGTCTTAATGGGGGTAACCAGTAAAAGTGAACCCCAAATAGCAAACAGCCTCAGAGCAGCTTCTGCCTGAGCCCTTCTGTGGCTGTGGTCAGCCATGCACTCAGGAGCCTCCAGGATCTGGGCATTTCTGCTCAACAGCATCTGCCCATGTGAAATTAGGGCTCCTCTCTATTTTCTTTATAAAATAAGCCGTCATCAGATGCTGTTCGTCCACACTCATCCGTAAGGAAATGGTTTCTGAGGGTGGAGGAAATAAAGGTTGGGAAGTCATACTCTGACCCCTAATGTTGACGTCAAGCTGAAAGGACCGGGCACTTGAACCCTTCCCACTGTTATTCAGTCTGTTTCCAGCACCACTGGTTTGATAATATCTATTTCTGCAGATGTTAGTTGTAAGTGTTATAATTAGAAAAATCTCCTGGGTTTCTTTGCTTTGAAAATAGATTGATTCCCCTCCTTGCGAGTGAAGTTTTACAGCCACCGGGCTGCATGGGAGAGCCCGCTTCTCGTCATGGTTGTTGGCATGAGCTTTTGTTCTCAGAAATGTCCATGCTCCTCCGTTCTATGGGGGCACACACTATCCTACACTAATCTATAGACACACATGCAGCCAAAGCAACATCCTGCTTCTAATATTTAATTTAAAAATACGTGGATTCATTCAGCTAACATTTATTTTGCTCTATGTGACAAGCACTGATGTGTATGCATCCATTTTTCCTGTGTGAGTTTGCTGGAGGAATGCCACACGGGCGGCACAGTAATCTGCCTGTGACAGACATCGCTAATTGATCATGGGTCTCTTTCCAATCTGGGCACCAAACCTTCCAGATACCACTCCTGGGACCTGAAAGTAAACCATTTCATGTCTGTTCCAGAGGGATTTCCATAACCAGACTTTACTCATTAGACTGTGTCCTGACTTTAGATATAATTTAATTTAAGGAACATTCCTTGAGCACCCTTTGAATACAGGGGGCTATAATTACTGTCATTGTGCTACAAAGCAGCTTTTTTTTTTTTTTCTTACAAAACTCTTCCTAGACCTGCAAAACCCTAACTTTGCCAAGGATTGTGGAGTGCGTGTGTCAGGGCATCATGTGGATTTGGCAAGGGGTTCTTGGTGCCAGTGGGTAGATGCATCTCCTCCAGGGAGGTGTTTTTGCATCACTGGTGTTTCTAACAAATGCTTTTATTTTATGTTTTGCTGTAGAATGCTCTTGAGAGACGGAAAAACTCAAAGGGCCAGGGCAAAGCCAGCAGCAGTGCTCTGACTGGGGTTCTGTCTGCGAAGCAAGGTAGGCATTCGGGGTCCTGGTACAACCACTTAGAAACACGAAATGCTCCTGGTGTGCTGTCCATCACTTCTGAGCAGCTTCTGGGTTTGCAGATCCAAAAGCCGGGTGATTGGAGAAGCGGTTGCTGAACTTCTACCTGCATGGGAATGACGTGGAAGTCCTGGTCTAGCCCGGATTACTAGCCTGCCCCAGAGCTCCTGAGTCAGTAGGTCTGGCACCTGCACCTGACAATATGTCCAAAAAATTCCCAGCTAACACTACTGTGGGTTCAGTGGTCCTGCTTTGAGAATCAGTGTATGACAGGTTTTCCCAGTGACTGACTGGATCCTGTATCAATGTGGCCCCCTACCTGTGTCACCGAGGGTGCATCCTAAGGTGTGCTTCACCCTCCTTGAGTGTCTCCTCCTCCTGGCCTCTGTGATCAGAAGAGAAAAGTCATGTAGCTGCCGGAGTCATTTTACCATGAAACTTGTGCCTTTTTCCAACAAGCTTTTATTGATTACAATTTTGGTCCTCCTCCTTGTCGATTCCAATGAAAAATAATGATCTTCCAGGAACAGACCAGGGGAATAAATAGCAGAGAGCTTGTGTTCTGACACTTAATATTCGGAATTCAGCTCTAAACACAGGCTTCAAGTTGCGCATGCTCAGCTGGCCCATTTTTCCAGTTGTTGGTAGCGCAGCCAGCAACTACCATGTGGCCGTCTCCATCCGAGCTGAGAGGCTTAGGCGAAAAATGCTGAGTCCTCAGCTATTTAACAAGCAAGGCTGTGTTCCAAGCAACTTCTTTGTTTCCACTCCACTAGAAAAGAGCATCCTAGGAGTGTTTTAAAAAGAAAACTATAATCTTCTCTGAAAACGTGAACTGGCCCCACTGTGTTTAGGCCAGGATGTCATAGATTGCAAATGAGCTTTGAGCTTGGAGACCCAGCCAGATGTGGGGGCAGAACTGGGCACCCAGCCTGGCCTTTCTGGAAAGCCTACTGTGCAAGACCTATCATCAAAGATCTATTGACACTAGTACACCAAGCCTATCAATCTATGGCAACCTATTATAAAAAGCTTTAAACTGGTCCCCATGGAAAGAACAAGAAATAATTATGAACATATGCAAACATTTTGCTACAGGAAATTGTTCATACATTAGTGAGAATAAAGAACTGGAAGTGATATAAATATCTAGCAGTGGCTCAAGACATTATTATGTATCTATGTGTGGACTATTAAAGCAGTCATTAAATTTTAGGCTTTATAGGATATTAATGATGCTGAGTATTATTAAGAGGGGAAAAAAGGCAGGGCTTTTCTCCATTGTTTGAATGCATGATTTTTTTTTTTTGAGCTACATGTGATCACATAGGAAATGGTATGCAGAGGGCTATAAGATTTATATCATTGCTTTGTTGTGTCTGGGAGTAGAGTAGTTGTCATACATTTCTGTTATATTTCAGCTTACCTACCTTCCTAAAACTGTGGGTTGCTTTTGTGATAGGGTAGAATGTTGGATGTATTCAAACCAATCTTCTTCATAGCAGACTTTTCTGACTCTGAGGATCTGAAAGAGCCCAGGTTCGCAGAGACAGAGGAAGAGGAGGTTCCACCTGTAGATCAGCCAGGCCGTAGAGGCAGATGGCTACTAGAAGAGCCATTGAAGCCATTTTGAGCTCAGCCAAATAGAAATGGGGAAGTGGAGTTTCAGCAGCACCATGAATGAAAGTCATAGAGATTTTAGCAGACTATATTTATATTACTTAAGCATGATGTTTTATTGCCCAGCAGGCTAATGAAATTGCCCATTATATTAACAAGATTATTCACTTTGGAATTATAGCCCTAGTTTGTGCAAAGTTGGTCACACCACCCCAGGACTCTTCCTTTATGTGTCTACAAGTGGCATGAGATGGATCAGAAGTTATTTTTTAGATACTTTTACAACTAGGCAGACAACAGGGGTGTTTCCTACAAGGAAGAGCTATCCATAGGTGTTGGACAGCTGTCCACAGGTGACTGGAGACCTGGCAGCACGAACTCGTCCAGGGCTCGGTCTACACGCTGCACCACTCCACGTGGTCTGAGCCCTGTAGCTACACTGACCTCGGGACACTGTTGTTGGCTTCATTGTGAACCTGGCTGTGAGGCTGGCTTGGCAGTCAGGGGAGTCCTCAGCCTCCAGGGACAGCCAGTCTGTGCATAAGGAACTCTTTCCCAACCTCCAGGTGCTCGCAGGCTGCTTGGCACCTCCTTGCCATACCTTTGTACCACTTAGGCTATTGTTTGCTGGATATTTTTCTATGAATCAATTTTAAAGTGACCTATTTTATTTGGCTTTGTCCTACGCAGTAGCATCTGGGAAGTCACTAGTCTACTATGTCATTTATTTCCTTTTGTATAGTACCTTCAAACAAGGGCATAGCTATTGAAACTAAAAAACAGAACAAAACAAAACAAAAAAAACCTTTGCATTATATATGAAATCTCCTACATTATCTTGCTGCTTGCTAAGGAATCATGCTGCAGGACACCCCGCCAAGCAAGGCTTTCAGGGTGGAGGCTTAGTGTCATTTACACGACAGTGTGGTCTTTAGCCAGTATCTTTCCTGTATGGAACAGAAACAAACACTACTCAGGTTTTGGATTTTGTTTCTTTTTTTCAGTTTCAAGTTTCAATGAAATAGTTGGCATGAAAATGTTTAACATACTGGGAAAATACAAATAGTTTTGTTTCAAAAATTTGTGGATGACTAGGGGCATAGCTCAGTGTCAGAACATTTGCTCAGCATATGCCAGGCCTGGATTTCATCCCCAGCACTGTGCAAAAGAGGATGTGGATGATAAAACTCATGTAGGACTTCTCTTTTCTCTTTAACTCTCATGCTGAATTTTATTTTACCCTGCACACCTGAGGCAGACTCTCAATACAATACAGTAGCATTTAGAAGCTGAGAACCTTCCGTTATCCCAGAAGAAATGACCTTGGTTTGCGGTCCCATTTCCTAGAACTGACAGCCAAGTTGTCAATTTTATGTCCTATCTAGTTCAGGATCTGCTCTCTGAGGATCACGGGTGCAGCCTCCCTGCTACGCCACAGTCCATTTCGGACTTGAAATCTCTGGCCACTGCCCTGTTGGAGACGATACACGAGAAAAACATGGTCATTCAGCATCAGAGACAAACCAACAAGTAGGTGGCTGGACTCTGTGGGAGAGGAGAGGGAGAGGGGGGAAAGGGAGGATTGGTGGCCAGGTGGAACCACAAGCTGCACCAGAAGAAGGTGACATCCCTCAGTTCCAGAAGGACATGTGTTAAACTAGAACCATGCTTCTCCTTTAGGTCAGCCAGGGTCTGGGCTGTAGGCTGGAGTCAAGCAAAGTAGTAATCCTGGGGGTCACTTCTTAGAGACACAGAGGGCCACACAGTGAGCAATAGGTGTGCCATGGTGGTTTCCTGGGTGGCGCATCTCCCTTCCAGCTCTGCTTTTCCAGAGAGACCTGCCTCAGTGCCATTTCGGACTGAAAGCCTGAAGAGCTCTGGCAGGCAGCAACTGCTTGGGCACTAACTTCATTAAGTAGCTGGACTTGTAAGGGAGGCTGATGGCTCTCTTCTAGGTCAGCAAGGAAAGGTGGTGGAAAGAACCAATAAATAAAACAGAATGGTGTGTGTGTGTGTGTGTGTGTGTGTGTGTGTGTGTTGCTCAGGATTGAACCCAGGGCCATCAAACTGAACTACATCCCCAGTCTGTTTTAACATTTTTTATTTTGAGATACGACCTTTTTAAGTTGACTAGGCTGGGCTTGAGCTTGTGATCCTCCTGTCTCAGCTTCCCCAAGTACTACGTATTGGGTTTTTAAAACACATTGACTATGTTGTATAAAATCAGGCAAGTTAAAGTAGACTAAAGTAGCTGTCAGAGGCGACAGAGCAAAACCGAAAGGCATTCAGGTCATGGTGAATAGAAACACTAAATTAGAACAATGAGTGTTACACACATCGGCACATTTTCTGCTGCTATAATTAAATACCTGATCCTGGGTGATTTATTTAAAGAAAAGAAAGAAATTTACTTCTTACAGCCCAGGAGGCTGAGAAGCAGAGATCAAAGCATGCATCTTAGAGGACCTCTTGCTGAGTCATCACCTGACAAGGGACCTCCAGTGGTGACAGAGTGAGCTAGCTGGGTCACTCTTTCACTAATGCCGTCATGCTGCAGGGTGTCACCCTCAGGACCTTATCTCTGCGTAATCACCTCTCAAAGGTGAGACTCTCAGCTCCCACTGACATGGGAATTTGGGGGACACATTTGTGTCATGATAAGACTCAGAGCTGTGCTGCCTGCCCTGAGAGGGGCCTGGCACTTGCTCCCAGCGCTCTATTGTCACAGCCCTGAGATTTATAAGAGAGAAGCTTATGGTTCTACTCCAAAGGTTCCATAGTATGTGAATCCTGCTAACAAGATCTATGCTCACTGGACCAGAATGGGTCTGAGGAAGGATGCTCGACTGGAGCCAGGAGGAAGGGATGGGAGAGCCAGACATGGTGCAGAGGCCCCTGGGCAGTGATGGAAAGTACTGTAAAAACAAAATAGAAAGGGAGAAGACAGAGGACAGGAGATAAAGGCGTATGTGGAAGAAAGCAAGGAGTGGTGAAGGGAGGACCGTGTCTCCAGGGTCACAAGGGTGATCCATTCCAGAAATTTTTGATTGTCTTGCACAATGAAACCTTCACCAAGGATGCTTCCCCCGGCCAAGGGCAGCCATTCTGCAGAGAGGAGGAAGGAGTCACATCTTTAGGTCCTGCCGGCCTCCATCCTTTCTTCTCACAGAGCACATTGGCAGGGCTGTGGGCTCTTCCCAGCCTCCTCAGGTCTGATCTGTTCTCAGCAGGTAACCTCAAGGGACCCTCAGCATGAGTTCATCCACCTGCCATTGCCCTGGAACCTGTGTCTTCCTGCCTGGGCTCTGCCTGTCTCAGCAGCATGTGGCCCTTCCAGTGGCCTTGTGGCCCCAACCACCGCTCACCTTTGGGGATTTTGCTCTCCTGAGGCTTCCTCTTTGAACCTCTTCAGCACCTCCCCTCCTCTGGCTTCTGCCCCTTCACCCTGATCCCTGAAGCCTTTTCTCCACCTGCTCTCTCCCTAGAAAATCTGATCCCCTGACATCGCTCCAGAGGAATCCACCTGGACTCCTCAGTGGCCCTTGAGAAAGTGTGCCCTGGAGGTTGCCTCTGGCAGGGTGGCCTGGGAGAGATGCTTCAATAGGAATGTAGGTGCAGCAGTGTTTCTGTATCCATCGTCAGGGTCCCAAGACTCCACCTTTGAATCTTGTTCTTCTGTAGGTTGGCCACATCAGAGTACCATCTTGAAGTTTCCCTTTGAGCCTCCAACTCTCTCTGGTCTCAGTTCGTTTCTCCTGCTCCTCATCCCCCAGACCAATCTCAAAGGACCTCTTATTTCCACTTCTTGCTCTGGTTTTCCCTCCCTGCCCCAGGACCTCATGGCCTGTCCCTGCCTTTGCCTGCCACTCTTTGCAGACTGTTTTCTTAGATCTTTGTCTCCACCACTCCATCAAGGGCAAGGTCCAAGGTTCCAGCTGCTAGGTTGACAGTTTCTCCTGGGGTCCTTTCAGCTCTTCCTACTCAACAAATCTAAGGCTCAGAATAACCTTTCTCAATTTAATTACTTCAACATGCTTGTGCCCTTTGTCCTGGGTGGCCTACTTCTAGGAATTTATCCTAAAGAAAGAAATCAGAATGACCCCTTAGAGGGGTGAACATAAGGTTGTTCGTGATAGATTCCTTTTTAAGAGTGAAGATATGGAGGCAGCCCATGTACCTGTTAATTAGAAAATGTAGACTTAGAGTTCAGCCAGAAGATGGAGTAGAGTGCACCATTTAAAGTGTGTTTTGGAAAATATGTCCTGGAGGTTGGGCAGAGCCTATACCTCTCAGGTCTGAGCTACTCCAGGCCCTGAATGTTTGTGTCTGTCATGGCCACCCCCTTTGCCTAGTGCCAAGCACCCTGCTGGCCCCTATGAGCATGCAGGGGATGTTTTGGTGGCAGATGATGGGCTGTCTTCTGACCCTCTGTTCCTGTTCCCTCAATGCCCACACTCTCATAGTGTCAGGCTGGATGGCATCCTGAGTGTGTGTCTCAGACAGGCCTTTCCTGAGTGTGGGCCTTCAGTCTTCCCTCCCGTGTGCCCCTCTGCCTCTGCCCCACAGACTGTCACTGCCTCTACCCTCAGGGTCCAGCCCTCCTCCCCACCACACATGCTGCACTCCTGGGCGCCCCCACTGGCCATAGCTCTGAGTGCCAAGCTGTGCTGGGTCCTCACCAGGGTGACTCTGCTGAAGACTGCTGCTTCCCTTGGCAGGCTGGTGTCCCACGGGGCTTCTCACTGCAGCCAGGGCCAACAGTCCTGCACCTGGGGCCCAAGCACCTTCTCTCTCTGTCCAGAGGAGTGACACCCACCCAGCCTTTTATTTTTCATTCCTTATTTTGAGCCAGAGTCCCACCAAATGTTAACTTCTGCATCGCCGGCTCCACCTTGCCATCTTCCTGCCTTAGCCTTCCAGAGTGCAGAATTATAGGAATTTACCATCTTGCCTGGTGCATGTGTAATATTTTAAAATAATTTTTGAGCCATTTTATGGTTAAATAACAGTGGATCGCCAAACATCTCCCCGCAGCTACCCAAACTCTGCTGGAAGAAATTAGGCTTCCGCACATCCAAAGGTTGTACAAAGAAGCAAATATATTCTCATATTTATAGACATTTTTAAAAACAAGTGATAGCTAGGAGTCATCTCAGGGGAGGGTTTCCCCCCGTTTTTTCTTTTTCGGTACCTTGATTTCCTCCATAGCGCTTAGCCATGGAGACCAGTACAGAAGGTGCCTAATGTGCCATTTTTAATACGCAGAAGGTCTTAAGGTTCAAATTTTCAGTAAATGTTTTGAGAGTGTGTAAAGAAACTAATTATGCTACAAACAAAGGGCTAAGAATAGACTATGAATTTGGCCTGCTTACTGTTATCCCTCATGATTTACCTTTGCAACCAAAATAATAAAGCAGCTGGGGGAGGAGGAGTGGAGTGGAAAGGATGAAAGTGCTCCTTCCTGGGGGAGAGTGCTCCCCCTGCTGGTGACCTCCTGCCTGACAGTTCCTCCCTCAGGGAAAAGTCCAGAGGGAGTCATCTTGAAGACTGATGAATAATAATAGGTCTTTATCTTTTGAGTGACATTCAGTGAATAGGCAATTTGTTTGAGGTTCTCCTTGCCAGAGTTGAAGTTGGCAGTTGTCTGGTTACGGCTAAAGCAGAGATTCGGCCCATTTGTCTAATGAGCTGGTACAGAACATTAGTGAGAGAGTCAGTGGCTGAAGTGATGTTTCCCTGAATGTGATTTTGGTCCCTAGCCTTCCCATAAGTCTCGGGGTGGGTGGTGCATTTGGATAAATATCTTAATATACTTTACTGTTGCCCCTAAAACCATTCTCTCTTTTCCTTCCCTGATCAGTGAAAAATGGGCTTGGAAGTTCAAGCTCTTGGGCAGCAAGGAAAAGGTGTGAATATAGTTTGAAGGCTACCAGACTAGGGCAGAGCACGGACAGGGTTTCTCCGGATGAAGTAGGGCCAGAGCTGCCTGTTTCCCCTGTACAACTGTGTCCTTCAAGACCGCTCACTCCTGGATCCCTGCAGGTAGCACAGGGGCCTGTTCCTAAGCTAGTGCTGTCCATGCAGAGTCCTAACCCTGTCACCCTCAGTGGTATTGTTCACATCAGAAACCATGCTGGTGCCACATGTGACCATCACACCTGTAGTCTCAGCACCCTGGAGGCTGAGGCAGGGGGATCTCAAGTTCAAGTGTAGGCCAATCATCTTATGAACTTACTGAGGCCTGTCTGTAAATAAAAATAGACATGGATTGTAATGAGAAGGAAACCATGCTGGAATGTCCACCTGAAGACCTCTTGTCTTGAGGATTTCCCTAAATGGCTAGGTAAATATACACTGAAAACTCCCCTACTCTGAAAAAAAAAAAATCCATAACTAAATAGACAAAAACTTTATTTAAAAATATCCCACCTTACCTCCCCTCACCAAAGCCACTCTCAAGCCACTGCCTGACCATCCCCTGCATGCTCCACTCAACTCTTTGAAGAGTCATGTCTGTTCTACTTTCTTGTAATCTGTGCAACCCTGTCCCTGGATCATGAGTTTCAATGAGTGGAGTGGTGGGCGAGACTGCTTTGAGATGAACTGTGTGTTCTCAGATAAATTGCTTAACCACTCTGATCCTCAGTGTCCATTGTGTGAAAGAGGCAGTGTAATACACTGTCCTCTACAGGGTCTTTGTCAACTCAGAGGAGATGGTGCCAGTGAGGCAGATGTTCTGTGTGGCCCATGCCTCATACAAGGATGCAGGAGACATTAGTTGACTGTTTCTGTTCATAGCAGTGTGGTCACTTTGTTGTTGATTTTGTTGTTTCTATTATAACTACCACAACTCCCCCTGGGCCCATTTTACTAGCTCTGGTCCTACCTGAGGTGGTGGGAAGTTGCTAAATGTCAGTCCAGAAAGAAAACCCCTGCTATGGACTGGACAGAGTTCCAGGAAGTAAATTGGTGGGAATACCTCCCAAATCATGTGGTTCCACTTCTGGGAGGCATGGCTGCACTGTCCAGGAATGTCAGAGCAAACAGAACCAAATGTGTCTGCACTCTCACACGCAGCCCAAACGGCATCCCTTGGCTCACCTGGCAGAGCAAAGCTTTATCTTTTGTTTCTGAGAGGCTGCTGGGAATGGATGATCTGATTTCCTTAAGAAATGGGTGTTGCATTGAGTGTGGTTGTGATTGCATCTCTAGCCTGTCAACTGGTGAAAGGGAGCTGGGATCAGGAGGTCTGAGAAAAATATTGTGAGCGAGATTAGAGGCCCAGTGTCTGTGGAGGGGTCAAGGACTGGACGGCAAGAAAGGCCCAACAAATGGAATGACATGGCATTATTGATAAAGACTACGCAGAATTTTAAGACTTAAAGAAAAGAAGGAAAGAAAATCCCTAAGATCCCAGATGAGGAAAACTGCACACAGTAACATCATAGTGTTTTATGAACTCCAAGGGAATATTAATTAAGATGCTACAAGTCATTTCAGGTAAAATCAGGATGAATCCGAAGCTGTATATATGTGCAGACCTGTACATATTCATGACTCTATGTATGTGGGTGTGTGCAGCTATCTCTGGAATCTAAAGAGAGGTAGGAGAATAATTCTGCTGTTCTGATTTATCCTGCTGAAAGGAATTGAAACTTGGCTGTTATGGTGACTTCCACGTCGTTTTAGCACAGCCGTGCCAAGAAAATCCCCCAAATAAAACAAAGACTACTTTTTCAATTTCCAGGCCAATAGAAAGTGATTGAAGTTTTTGATGAGGATCAAATCGTTTCCTATATTTAATTGAGTACAAAGGGGGCCTGAGCATCCACACCTATATTCACCTGTGCATATAGACGAAGCTTGGCTTCCAAGAATGTATTCCGGTACATATTCTAGAACTTGCTATGCCCCAGTGAGTCCAAATGGTCTTCTCAAAAGCAGCATAAGTTATTGTACTGATTCTGAAATTCCTGAAACTCCTTTGAAATACTCATTTTAATTCTCTCCATAGATAATTACAAATCATGAAAAAGAAAAGAACTTATTTAATCAAGTGTAGTAATTGAGGACCTTCCTGTAGCAAGCAATGTGCCAGACATCCAGCCTATGGGCATGCCTGGCTGGGTTCAGAAAGGCAGATCTTACTATTTTAGTCACCTAAAAGTCACATTACCAAGCATGTTCACCCATCTTACTTGTTAGACTCAGTTGTTTCCAGAAAATCCAGTCTACCCTAAAAGAGTCAAGGTGTGGTACCAAAAGGTAATCCAGATTGTTACCTTTAGCTATGATCAATTCTCAAATAGGAAATTTTGTAAGATGTTTTGGGCAATGGTACAATAATTGTTTAGCTTCCCTAGGGAGCCATGTTGGACAAGGATTTGCTGGAATGGTGTATAGATATAGACATGGATATCTATATGTCATATATCTATCTCTATCTATCTATCTATCTATCTATCTATCTATCTATCTAGTCAGTCATCCTAGTTTCTTTTTCTTAAGTGACTCAATAGAGTATATGTTACATGCGTGCACCTATACATGCTTACCTTTTGTAGAATTTATCTTATGTTTCAAATATTTTCTCTCTAGTCAGGCACTATACGTTTCCCTGGAAGCCACCTCTCAGCCTTGAAAGCTGACAGGCTATTCATTAATCTGTTGTCATTTTCTCCTCCTTTCCAGAATCCTGGGGAATCGAGTAGCTGAGTTGGAGAAAAAATTAAGAACTCTAGAGGTTTCTGGTTTGTGGAGTCTTCCAGGTAAACAGATCTTAATGAAAACTATTTTTTAAGAAGCTTTTATACAATTTGAAAAGAAGATTCCATATTTTTAATGTGTTTTTATTTGTAGGTCAGTGCTGAAAAATCTACAAGTGTTTTAAATTTAGAAACTATCATAGAAAAAGACAGAATCAGAAAATACAATAAATATTTAACTTCTCATGTGTGGGGTACTGAAGTTCTGCCAACCTATATTCCAAAATTGTCATATGTGTGTGTGTGTATATATATATATATACATATACATATACATATACATATACATATATATATATATATATATCCTTTTTGAATAGTGAATTGTTTCATTTTTTACCTGTAAGTATTTTCTAAAGGTCTGTTCCATGCAATCATCACTCCTAAAATGACTGTGAGAATATACAAAGATTTGTGCAATTTAATCATCATCCCTAGAATGAATAGAAAGATCTGACAAAGATTTGTTCAATTTAATCATCAGCCCTAAAATTGAATGTAAGCACATATAAAGGTGTGTTCCATTTAATCGCCAGTACTAAGAATGAAGAGCCGACAGCTTTTCTAACCCTGTGTACTTCACAGCCCCCTCCCCTGCCTTCCCCCATCCCATTTTTACACAGCTGGAACAGAAAACTTTCCTGAGGAGCCTTTCGCCCCACATTTGCCCAACATGAGGAAAGTGATGTTTCACTTTAATTAGCTGCATTTATCCCATTTATCTTGGTAAAATACCCCTTTCAGGAGACCCCTGACAGCTATTCCCTACTCTTTAAAAACTTATATTTATCGTTCGCTCCCACCTCCTCTTTCCCTGGAAGGAAGAGGGTATTTTTAGCTGCCTACCCTTTCCACGCAAAGCGGTCTCCTGTCCCCTTGGCTGGTGTGGGCTGCTTGCCTGTAATGGATGAAAAATGAAAATTGCCACAGGGAGGTGGACAGCATCCATTTTCTTCAACGTGACTCTGAATGGCCACCTTCCTTTGCCTGCAAGTACGTTTCATAAATTGGAATTTTGAGCCAAGATTCCTTGAACTTGATGTCAACAGACCTAACAGAAGTAATTAGTGGCAAGTGCTGTCCAGGGAGCTGAGCCATCCATTTGGCACGATACCCATTGGATGCTGTTACGGCCCATTTTTGCTGCAGGACTTTCTTCTGCTGCACCCAAGCCAGGCAAATGTGTCACCTGTTTGTAGAATCAGGGTGATATTTCTGCGCATGTACAGACCAGAGTTTTGATTTCTTTTCTTCTCAGAATGACTTATTGAAATTTCTTGCTGTTTCATTTCTATAATTTATATAAAAAGAAATTGAGGAAGGGGGTAAACTCTGGGAATTTTCTGTCTAGTGGTGTGGGGGCCTGGGAGATGTCCTGGGCAATGCTGTAGTGACACGTGTTTCTCTCTTCCTTTTGCTGCCCAAAGGCCTGAGCTACAATGTTTCCATAGGATTCGGCAGTATGTTCCTTTTAAATACATTTTTGCGGCTAATGTCAGCCGTGCATTCTGTCATCCTGCATGTAAAAAAGGGGAAATCCGTTATCTGTGTTTCCTTGCGCTCTTCTGACTAGAATAGAGAATTCAATTAGTACAAAGCAAATATTAAAGAACAACATTAGCTTTGAGGGACTTGGCTGAGTGAGTGCCGTGCGGGGGCCATGCTGTTCTAGTCTCTGGCCTTGAGGAGCTGGCGGGGCGAGCCCAGGAGGGAAAGGGCAGACCTCGGGCTCTGAGACTGTGTAAGGTGGTGGCGTCTCCTTTGCGAGTGCTGACGGAGGTACAGATAGAGCCTCCCACAGGGATGCGTTCTGGTGTCTTCAATCCCTCGGGAGTAAGCAGGGGCAGCGTCTTCAGTGTGTGTCGGGTGAGACCCTCTCCTGCTCATTGCTCTGTGTGTCTGCATTTAACTATGGCAGGCTGGAGTGAGAGGCCAGGCACTCCTTTCCACCTCCTTCTCCTCCCCACTCCATCCCTTCCTCTTCCCCTTTCTCATCCTCTCCCCAAATAGGATCTAAATCACAGTGCTTGGCCATCAGGAGGGCACAGGATCCTTGGCTTCAGAGAATTGCTGAGTCTCCCTTGCTTCCCAGCATCTTGAAAGGGTCAGAGCCTCCTCCTATGGGCCAGCCCAGCAATGTGTGGGTGCTTTTCTGAGCACCAACTCTGTGAACCGGGTGCTGAAGCAGGCACGCCGTGCGTGCCCCTCACCCTCTCTGAGAATCTGCAGTCCATTTGGGGAAGCAACATGAATATACATCAGGCAGCGACAGGAAAGCAGAGTGGTACATGATACAGAGCTAAAGGAGTGACAAGAATATCAGGATATGAGGGCGAGGGGAGGGGCCATTTGGTGCTCATTATAGGACAGACAGTACAGAATGAGATAGGCAAGGATGGCATAGATCATGCAACAACCATTCTGATGCCCACAGCAGACATCGCTAATCTATCCCTTCTTTCTTCCTTAATCATTGCAGACCTGGCCCTCAATACTTTCCAGGGGCCCATCTGTGGTTAGAGGTGACATGTGAAAGAACACACTCCCATTTCTGGATCTCCTCTTGTTTTAGATGAGGAAACTGAGGCAGAATAGCTGAGTCCTAAGGCCACAGGGGCTGGCATGAGTGCAGGTGTTCAGATTCTCCTTTGGTGACCTTCAGTTGGTGCTGGGCAACTGCAGTTCTGAGGAGGGAACTGGGGAGCAGACCAGACCAGCTGGACAGTGACTCCCACAGAATGGTGGGCTGCAGGGAAAGAATTCACACCCACAACCCAGAACCACCACCTCAGAGACTCAAACAGGTAGCGGACGGAAAGCCTGCTCTCCCTTTTACTACAGAGCAGAGCAGCTCGTGGACTTTCAGCCTTGTATTATTTTTTCCCCCTCTTCTTCCTTTCTCCTCTCTCAGCCCATGCAATAGAGCGCTTGATGTTTGCTAGACTAGTGATCTTGCTGGGAAGTGGACATGTCTGACGAATGTCACAGCATGCAGAGAGAAATCATCTGGAAGGCGAGCCTATCCCAAACTGTTTCACCTGTCTGACAGATGGAGAAGCGTTCGGAAGGCAGGGAAGCCAGAGGGAGGCCCCCGAGCCGTGCCTGTCAGAAGGGATTAGCTCCTACCCACCCAGCGCCATGCTCGCCTGCCAGGTCCCTCAGCCTTTGTTCACCTCTGCTAGGAGACTGGCATTGGGCAACTCAGAGAGAGAGAGAGAGAGAGAGAGAGAGAGAATAAATAAATAAATAAATAAATATGAGAATCAGGAGAATGTCTGGAGGCTTTTGGTATTTCTTTAGCTTGACCCAGTCATGGCCTGACCCAAGCCTGACCCGAGTTCTCCCTCCCCCACTCCCCATCTTCTAGATTTAAGAGCCAAAGGAAAGTACAAGATATCAGATCATCAGATTAGGGCTCAATTTAGTCAACACAGATGGAATTGGGCTTAAAAACAATGTAAGTAAGTGCCTTCTAAGCTAGGTTTCTGGAGCCTTCAAACATTTGGCAAGCACGACCCAGTGCTGGTATTTGACTTTAAGATCAGGCACTGATCTCTCTTGGGGAAAGTCAGGGAAGGTTATTTATCTTCCCGTCACCCCAATTTGATTGGGCATAGATAAAGCATGCTCCCCCCCCCCCCTTTTTTTTTTCTTCTTGGAACCGGGGATTGAACTCAGGCCCTTGCGCTTGCCGGGCAAGCACTTATTCTACTGAGCCATCTCCCTGGCCCCACATGCTCCCTTTCTACAAGCTCATGACTCAGATTTTTGGTGAGGCTTTGCTAGGACCAGCATTTTTGACGCACCTTGTAGCATGGAGAATGGCCCTGTGTGGGGTGGAGCCAAGGGACACATTATACCCCATGAGTCCCTCTTGAGAGGAGAGCTAGGGACCTTCAGTCGGCCTTCACCATTCAGCACCAGCTGGCTCCCACCCTGCCCATGCTCTGGTTCTTTGCCTACCAAGGCAGAGGGCTTGGGAAGGCTGAGTGGGACATGGAGGGGCAGAGTGTGTTCCTTACCAAATCCCTTAAGGCTAGAGAGCTGCCAGCCCTGCCACAGAAACGTGGATCGAGAAATGCAGTCCCATCCATGACAGTGGGCACGTGGTGTTGCTTTGAGGGAGAGAAAGAAAAGAAACCGATCACATGCCACCTGATCTGCAGTCATGCCGACCCCGGCCTGGCCACCACAGTGCATCCAGGTCCTTCCGGCTTGTATCTTTGCGGTGTGAAGAGGCCTGACTGTGCTGACTTTATTCTGATAGGCTCCCATCCATATCCTGAGCGGCAGGTTACTAGCTCTCTTTGGGAATGCTCTGCAGACTGGCCCTGAAGATGTCTAGATTTCTTCCCACGTAAGATGATGGCAACGCTGGTGCAGATGTTCAGGCTCAGCTCCTAGTCTTTGGGGATGTTTCACCCAGAACAATCTCTTTGTAGGCTCAAACAGGCTGGGTAGAAGAATAAAGTCAACAACCCACAAGGAACTAGCACTCCTAAGAATAATCCATCAGCCCATTGTTCAGACATTTACTGAGCACTTACCACATGCAGAGGTCTCCTATAAAGCCGTGGAACTAAAGTCAATAAAAGATAAAGCCTATTGGGAAGATAGTATTATTAACGAGTAGGAGGGGCCCATGGGCACAATCACAGAATCGTATCCAACGCCTAGCTGGTTCTCTAAAGGAGTAGTAGACATCTTAACCCAAGTGCCATTCTGTGCTTGGCTGAACCTGACCCTGAGGAAAATCACAGGACTTTAACACCTCTGATGTGAGCCCAGAGATATTACTGGGCACAGCTTTAGAGACCATCTTGCCCAAAGTCAGACAGGTAAAGCTGCAGTGCCAGCTGGACTCGTGGTCCCTGGTGCTTCCCTTCTGGCATAGTAAGAGAAATCCAAAGCTGCATGGGCCAAAACTTGACATTGCACCCTCCCTGATGGGCTCTCCTGACCTCTAGGATTGTATCATTCCGTGCACTGTGTCTGCTGTCCCTGTGTACTCTGTGTCTGCTGCCTGCCCCTCACGCTCACGTTCAGAGCTGCTCTTGCCTGCTCTTCACCTTTGTAACTTGCCATGGCCTCTAGCATAGAGATGTCTTGGTTTACTTTTTCTTGTCCTAATTATCCCACGCTTTTCCATCTGTTTGGGGAGTTGTTACTCATAGGCAGAAGGGCATGGCTGGATTGGAAATGTACTTTCTAAGTGGAAGTTCAGCTGGCAAGATCTAGAAGACCTGATACTGGTTGCCTTAAGGCGCAGGTACCATGCAATCTAAATGACCAAGTGGAATCAAATCCAAAATAGGTGCATGGAAGCCAGTGCTGATCATTCAACAAGTGACAACTGCCAAGTGCTGGCAAAATACTCAAGCACTTTGCATCAGTTAGTTCATTTCATCGTCACTGCTGTCCAAGAGGTAGGGGCCATCACTGTCCTCCCTCGCTTTGCAAATGGGAGATGTGAGGCCCAGAGAGCTGTAGTGACTTCCTTGATGTCACCCACGCAGTGAGGGACATTATCTGAAGTGCACACAGCACAGTATAGCCCCAAAGCCTATTCTCCAAGCCCTCTGCTTTCATTGGAACTGTTTTTATCTCACCCGCTCAGTTTTTGGAGATGCAGGCTGTACCTCAGCAGTGGCAAGGATTGGCATCTGTGCCTGAGCTGACTGTCAGGAATGAGTCAGGGTCTGTCATCATAGACGTCTGGCTTGTCACTCACTGCTCCCTTCTCAGCCTAGAGAAAGCGCCTCCTAGCTATCTCCTCTGCACTGCTTGCAAGGGAAGAAGGGTCCTAAGGGATCAGCCAGTGCATTAAGTAGGAATAAATGCAACCCAGCTTCACTGGTGACATAACATACCCATTTTCTCCCTTTTCCCCAACAGGGGGGAAGGATACCATACTGTTCAGCGACCCTGCTCTTTCCACTGTACAAAGATCAAGATCCCCACTGCTGAAGTTTGCTGAACAGCCCACAGAGAGCCCGCCAGACCCTAAGGATGGTAAGTGTGTTGTGCTCAGCCCTCTCATCTCTGGAACGTGATGCTTGATGCCCACAACTTAAAGGTCAGAAGGCTTAATTAAGCTCCTGGTTGCAGGTTTCGGGGGATTCAGTCCATGGTTTTAAGGCAGAAATTTTGTGGCAGAGTAATGCTGTGGTGTTGGTGGTGGCCAGAAAGCAGAGCAGAGGAACAGTGCCAGAGAGGAGTGGGTGTGGGAACATATGTGTAACCTGAGATCACGCCGCCAGGACCCATCCAGACATACCTAGGACTGTGCTTTATAATCTGCTAGCTATTTCTTAATCCTGTGAGGTTGACACAGCAGGACTAAAGGTCACAACAACTGCACCTCGTTTCTGTCTACACCTGGTCTGTGCCTACACAGAGAAAGGCCTCAGTGGACGACCTGCGGTCCCTCCCCCTCCTACAGCCTCAGTGGCATCATCCATGCACACCTCCCATGTAGTCTTGTTGCTTCCCTGGGGTCATCCTGTTGGGGGGTCCCAGCAGAAGAAGATAGAGCCCTATACTCTGGAGCCGTGGTGCAGACATTAGGAGGGAGGACTTAGCGGAATAGAGCATATATTCCAGTCCCACATCCTAGGGGCTGGAAGAATGTGGGTTAGTGACTCAGCTTCTTCTCATAAAGCGGTGACCTGCGCTGGATGCCTTGCCTCATATAGTGAGTGGCCTGGAGACCAGTGGGCTGCAGAGGCAGTCTCCTCCACCAGGCACAGTTGTGGAGGACACTGAAGACCCACTTAGGACACCAGATGAGGCAACAGACATGCTAGCAGATCTTCTCCCATACGAAAGTTTTGCTGCTGTGACAAGACTCACTGTGCTACTGGGGCTGCACAATGTCCTTGGTCAGTTCAAAGCCTTTACCGTCCATGGTCGTTTTTACTCTGGGCATGAACTGGAAGTCACAGGGTGCCAGATCTGGTGAGTGAGGTGGCTGAGGAGGCACTAACGGTTCTACAATCCTGGCTTTCTGTTGGATAGCATTTGGCAGCATCGTCCAGTGTATCTTTTTTCAGTCATTCATAAAGATATTTACCAAGGAGGACTTCCAGAACTGCTTCAGAAAGTGAAACACACAAGGGGATAAGTGTCCAGAGCAAGGGGAAATATTTTGAGAGATAATGATGGCATTGTGTTTTTTAGTGTACTAACTTAAAAAAAAACAAAACTGTATATTTTGAACAAACCTTGTATTCTCAAAGTATTTCCCTTTTCTGGATCCTGTCTATAGTCATAATCCTGTATTTCTGAGAGTCTGAACTTCCCCATGAATATTCTGTATGTTCCCAAGTATAATATCACTCACTGTCCTGGCCACCTTCTCAGACACTCTGGCTCAGGGCCTGGGTGTTGCTGGCGCTTGTCAGCCTCCCTTTCCCATTCACATCCTCCTGTAGCCATGCTCTTCTGCAGTTTCCAGCACCTCAGTTCCTCACACCTCGGCTTGGTTCAGGCCCCTGCTAGTTTACTTGCAGGCCCTGTCTTGATTTACTGCTTTCCAGGCTGTCCTTGCTTTGTTCGCATCTTTCCCCTGCTGTTGGAGGACAAAACACTGAGGTAGTTCTCCATCTTGCTGGCTCAGAGTGGGGTTCAGCTGTCTTCTGCCTAAGACCCTGACTCTGTAGCCTGGGTTAGTGCACCTTTCTAGCCTTATGATCAGCTCACCTTTTACCAAAATGAACTGGCCAGCTATGTCAGTTAGCCACTCCTGTGTAACATACTACCTCAAAGCTTAGAGCGTTCTCTTCTGGAGGGTTAACAACTTAAGTTTGCAGACCAAAAAATTAGAGAAAAAGAAAGGCTGCAAGGACAGCCAACATTTTGGCCCTAGCCTTTCAAGGTCAGTGAGGACTCAGGACATAGGAGAACCTATACTGTAACATCCTGTAACTCAATGGTGTCCTAAATTTTCTGATCAAGGCGATTATAGGGCCACAGAGGAAAGTGATTGATAATGTAGAGTGTGCCTAAGGAGAGTCACATGGAGAGAAAACATTCTCTCAGGCTTTCACAGAGAGCAAATTGGTCAAGCAATGGCCGTGATTCAACCACATAGCTGACACTGACAACGGTTCTACAAACTGCGGTACAGGGTTTCAGGGTAAATTCTGAGGGGATGTCAC